GAAGTCGAAAAATCTTACCCTTCGAAAGCATGGTCCAACATTTCAACACCTAGATCCTGGTAAACTTGTAGCTGACTTGCAAAATTACTATCATTTTTATTGAATGACCAATAGGAGTAATCAAAGTTGAAACTATGTGTTCGTTCCGGACCACTTCCACCGATTATTGCTAAATAATCAATTTTAGCTCTTTTGGAAACACTGGAAATATCGGGAGCAAATAAAATACGTTTTTTGCTTTTTTTTCCAGTATTTTTACATAAATCATTGCTTATCTTGTGTAAGCATTTGTTCAACTCTTAAAAGTTCAATACCTCGATTTCTTCGATTTCGAAATGCTCCGGTTTTTTTTTTTTCTAGAAAACTTTTCCTAGAAATGAATCAATGCTTTTTCACCCTTTTAGCCAACTATCTTAACTTTCCTTCTTCTCCTTCTTCTCTTACCAAAAACTGCAGAAATAAAGATGCAACTAACTTGTAGTATTTCCAGCCATAGCAATGATTATTTTAGCATTATTACTAATTTCGCGACTACTGAAAGGACGCACCCGAACAGCTACTTTAACAGATGACATGCTTGACCTAAGTTAGTGCCTGAAACTTTACAAAATTACGGATAAATTGGTCGCACTGTCTCGCAATGATATTTTATTTCTAATCAATAAATTCCGTGGGAAAATAGATAAAACTTCAGTTACGATCGGAAATTCCAGGACAACTATCACTTTTTGATCGTGCCACTTTTTTTGTTGTTTGACAAAAAAGTATGCAAAGTAAATAAAGACAAGATCAAATGCATCACTAGAACGATAAACTAATCAAATGTTTGTTCCAATTAAATAAAATATTTTCTCTATCTATTCAGAGTTGGCTACTCTTCGGCTTCTTCTATGTAAATCATAAATTTCAATTTGCTTATTCAATCCGATATGCATTATGTAAAATGTTACATTGAATTTGAATTAGTGTATCGGATCGTTCTCTTTTTTTTTTTACATTTTAGTTGCACTGAATTTAATTACGTTGAATTTTAGAATATTTATTGCACTGAAATCCTGAATCTCAGCATACATCAATATATTAGGCAGTGATTTCTTCAGCTTTTTCTAAGCATACATTGCTTATAGCTATGCGAGATTTGAAATTTGATTTAAAAAACAGAGGTAAGAGGGAGAGAAAAAGAAGAGAAAGGATGAAAAAAGAGAGGAAAAGAGATTAGTACATCTCATCAAAAATATGTAATTTAGCCAAAAATGATAATTTTGGGTATCAAAAAAATTGTTTTCACGAAGGTAACTTGTTGAGAATTGATTGATTCTAAGTTTAGATAAAAGGAATAACTTGATATCTAACTGATCATTTCTTGATTAAATAAGGGAAAGTACAGGAACGAAAGGCGCGCTTGTAAATCAAATGTTACCAAATGGATAGCAAAAGATCAGTGAGAGTGTCATCCGTTCATTCAATCATTCAGCCACAATCTATCACTTCAGCGCTATTCACATCAACAGGAACTTCCATTAAAACACGAACAGATTGATGATGCAACAATAAATTTTTAAATGATTATAAAAAATGTCATTCGTTGTTTGTTTCTGTTCCTTTACTTTCTCTTTCTCCCCTCTTTCTCTTTCTTTTTCTCTTTTCATTCCTTCTCAGTGAGATCTCTTGTAAACAAGACGAAGCATTGAAATAAATGATGAACAAATGACACTTTCTAAAAGGAGACCTTTGGAAGTCAATAAAATGAAGCGAATGACTGTGAGATTACATAATTGGAAAATACTTTCAAAATGATTTAAATTTGAAATATAATGAAAATTTAATGCTTTCAAAAAGAGAATTTTAATCCCTGTGGTTTTCACCGTTGTCTTTGGAATGAAAGTGTTGAAATGGTATTTTCAACCATATTATTATTTTAAAAAAATAGTTCACAGTGCTGGGGTACATGCAGTATGACGAAATTTGCACGTCTGTCTGCATGACCCGCGCAACAAACAAGAAATTTGGAGGAAATGAATAGTAATTTGAAATAGTCCTCATGCATATGGGAAGGGCCAATTAAACTTTTTATCAGTTTAAATTGATTTTCAGTAAACATCTAACCAATCAATAAGCCAAAACAAAGAAACAAAGGGGCATGATGCACTACGGTTCGGTAATTAATGCAAATTAAAAAAGAAAGGGAATTTTGAGCAAAAAAAATTCATAGAATGTAATCAGGAATGAAGTTTTACTTCTTTCACACATGACAACAAGGGTAGCAAGCAATATGTATAGAAGAAGGAAAGCGAGGGAGGAGAGAAAAACGGAAGGAAAAGTAAGGAGAAAACGGAAAATGGAAAAGCTGAAAGCGTTATAATCCGGTGTTTGAAAAATTGTAATAACTAAAGTCATTAAATGATGCAAAAGATTTAAAACTGGCTAGTCTCCTTTGGATGAGAATTTATCAGGATTCTGAGTTGCTTACATCTTTTTCAGGCTAGATGGTTTAATCAAGTATCATTTAGAACTATTACTACTTAACATATTTTTCCCTTTTTAATTAAACACTTTTATATGTCGGTTTTCTTCATCCGTCTGCCTCCGACCCTTTTTCTTCCATTTGATCAATTTTCATATATTTTCAAATAGTATTTTGTTTTCACAGAGTCAGCCAAAGAGTTAAAGCTTTATCAACCACACAAGCATATGTCAGGTCAAGACTAGTGCTGCTGCTTTTTTTTGGTATGGGTCATCGTCAGGAGTAAGCCAAAAGTACGAGATGAATCATTAAGGGAGATGAGTCAAGCATTAATGCGATAATGGCATTAATGCGAAAGTCAAGTGAAAACGTGAACAAACATATTCGTAAATGGCTTGTTTCAGTTGTTCGATAAGTTAATGCCTGCATATTTTGGCTATTATAAACTAATGAATTACATTTGATGCAGGTTAAACCTAGATGAGCATTTCTTGACTGGAACTTCCTAAAAGTTTTTGTTTCTACCACAGCTGCTTTTTACATTTACCTATTCAGGATTGGTCCTAAAAAAAGCTACTTGCGGGAGAAGCAAATGAAATTATATTAAAAAAACATAGCGAAAAGGAAAGATGGAAGGGAAGCTCGTTGGATGTAATAAAATCAAAAAATGGTAATGCAAAGCCATTTTACTCTTTCCATGGAGTCTACAACTTGCTTCATACTTACTTACTTTCTTTCTTTCTCTCTCCAGCAGTTAACCAAAATGGCCAAAATAGCATGGAATGTTTTATTCTTTGTCATAAGTATCACAAGTGCATCCTCATATGACAGAATGGACGGGATGCATTTTTCTCGAGAAGCACAGAAGCGCTCACCCAACTAAATGGGATTTTTGATGAATTTCTCAGGCAAAATGCACGAGTCACTCGTGTCAGATGTCTCTTTTCGTTTCTTTTTCACAGGGACAAAGCAAATTCTTATTCATTCATCAGTACCTCTTAGCTTAATTGCAGTATCAATCATCCTGAATGCCTGCAAATTGATACCATTGTCAGGATTAACAATATTTGATAAGTTCTAAATTGGGAACATGGATTACGAGTCACTCATAGGACGAAATACTAAGAAAAATTTACAAATGATTAATTTGAGCTATTAGCTGGGCGACATTCGTGATAGTGTCATGTAAATGGTGTGAAATTGGTCCCATGAATTTTTTTGAGAATATACCAAATAAAAATTGGTAAAAATTTCAAAACAAAATTATGGTTTTTAAAAAAATTGATAAATAAAAACTGTAAAGAATGGGACGTATATGTAGTTGAGGCGAATTACATTCCAAATGCATCAGGCTTGAAACCCATATATATCGATCCTGTGGAGCCCGATGGAAGAAGCAGCTGCCTCTTTCTCTTTCATCTTAACTCTAGCACTTTGCTTCGATCTATATTGCCTTAGTCCATTGCTAAAATCAGTTTAATAGAAATAGGATGAGGAAAGTAGGCCTTTTTGTTGGCTTGAAAACAGCCTTTTTGATAATGTTCCTTACTGCGTGTCTCATCATTAAATACCACACTCACAGCACTTTCATAACATTCCGATTCGAGCCTTTTTCGTCTGCTCACATTGCTTTCCAAGACACTTGCAATCTCCATCTAAGGGCCTTAATGTTTTACCGAGAAAAAATCCTTTTAAAAAATCCCCTTCTATGTGATTTGCTCATGTAAACTGACTGCAGCGTTCGGGACGAAGAGAAGGACATCCTACTACTAAATGTTTTTATCTTACACAAAATTAATCCCATAGAAGCAGGCCATCCATCCAGTCCAGAATCCCTCTTCTTTTCTCTCTGTGTCTCTCTACCGATGATAGGCAATGAGTAACTGTCCTTTTACAAGCTTAAACAAAACTGCTTTTATTTGCAACCAGTGAAGTGCTGTTCAGAAACAAAGACGGACAATATACCGGCATAAGCTATTTAGTGATCAGTAGTGAACCACAGGATATCCGATTTACCGTCGATTATATCAGTTACATTACCAAACAAAATGAATTTCAAAATTTCAAGAAGTTTAGCTTTGTTTGCTTAAATAAACAAAATAAGGTGACCTGTCATTCAGTCATCTACTGCACAATCCGGCTTTCAAATCTCCAAAATCAAATTTATTTCCGGAAAAATTTTTATTCATAATCTAATCATTGCTTCAGTCTCAGCTGACATGCTATTTCAATGGCAGTTTTCGTCATTACAATTAAATGGAAATTATACATTAAATCGTTATTTACAACTACAGTGGCAACCACTAGCAACAACGGCGACCTGAATTACATTTATGTGAGAACATCTTGACTGTGCAATTCTGAATCGTCTTTCCATACTTTGACAGATCAAAGTAGCAAAAATCATAAATGAATAATTAAATCATTTATTATCGAAAACTGTTGGGTATATTCGATGATCAAATCAAATGTCTCTGTTACCAAATCTAACAGTCATCAAGACTTCTTATAAAAAATTAATAAAGATTTCCCACCAAAAGCGAGCATCAATTGATTTTCTTTTTTGAGATGACCGACGGTTATCAATGAAAAAATTGGCGGACATTCGCTATTGGGATGGAATTTTTTCATTTCTTAGCCGCATGATCATGCAAAGCAAAGATAAGGGCAGGAGTGCCTATAGTGATTTAGTTAATTTGTTTTTTTTTTTACTAGTATGAACTTACATGAATGCTTTTGACTTATTGTGAAGTGGTGTGCAACCGCGAGTAGCTAAACCTGATTTCAACTATTTGTACAGCTGGTTAATGTAGTGCAACGTTACGGATGAAGCCTATCTATCACTGTGTTTCATGTAAACAGTATTGTTAATTGGTTTAATCATATTTCAGGGATGGCTTCTGTTGTGAATGTATGCAGTGTAAATGTATTGGAAAATCCCGGAAAATTCGATGACCCTTTCAAGTTGGAAATCACCTTTGAGTGTTATGAACCTCTTTTAGATGGTTAGTTCATCCTTAATTTGTGCTTTTGCCCTTGTAGTTATTTGTTTACGTTATTAATGAGGTAAACCACAGCAACTTTTGCACTGCTTTGCAGACACTGCAGATCGTAAGTATTGTTTGATTAAACAAAACTTCATAAATATTTGGTGGAAATGAGCATATATCATAAAAACTATGTTTATTATTGTCTTATTGCTAACTGTTTTTAGACCTGGACTGGGAATTAGTATATGTTGGATCAGGGGAATCGAATGCATATGATCAAATTCTTGATTCCATTCTGGTCGGTCCAGTTGTGGAAGGACGTCACAAGTTTATTTTCGAGGTTTTTCCATTTGTGGATCATTTAAAGATGCAACATTAAATGATAGTAAAATATTTTTATTTGTTTAATAGGTATTAAGCTTACGTTATTTAGCATACTTCAAACCACATGTTGTTTGAATTATAATAATTTGAGTTTACTATGGATTTGGTTGAAAACTCATGTTAAACCCTTTGGAATTTTCATTAGAAATTAACAGAAACTGCTGTTAAAGCTTGTTCGGCAAATTCTCGGGCTCAGATTCATTAAATGAACGTAATAAAATTTTTTTAATAATTGGTAATACTTCTCTAATACTTTCATTCCACTTACAGGCTGGTGGTCCGGATCCATCTAAGATACCGGAAAGTGAAATTGTTGGTGTAACAGTTTTGTTGTTAAAATGTAGGTACATGGAACAAGAATTCATCAATATTGGCTGGTTCGTTGCAACGGAATACACTGATCCAGAATTGCAAGAAGAACCTCCTGTATCTCCAGTTTTGGAAAAAGTATTAATTAAATTTTTGTTCCCAGTTTGAATAATGTGCATATGCTTTATAAAAGGCCCCGAATTAGTTCTTATGATTTGGCCTATTGCAGCTGCAAAGAAGGGTTTGTATTGATGATGTTCGTGTAACTACTTTTGCGATCAAATGGCACAAAAACGAGGGAAGTGGGGACATGGAAGATATTAAAATTAGGAATACGGAAGATACTGAAACCACGAGTGGAAAAGCAAATGAGTTTGCTGCGAGAAACGATGTTAACAGAAGTGACGACCGAAAGGAAGATGTAGAGGTTGTGGAGGGTAGGTAGTTAAGTACCATTTTACTTATTAAATTTATTTCCAAAATGATTTATTCCATTGAATTTTACTTTGGTACTGAGTTTACCTTAGGTCATATGTTTTTTAAAAGTTTAGATTGTTGCATCCTTCGTTTCATTTTTGCATTTTCTTTTCTGAATTGGATTCTGGTCTTCATTTCTTACAGAATTAAAATAGAACAGGCCGGAATGCTATTTCTAATAATTATTTCTTTATCAGGCACTCTTGTGGATGAGGCTGAAAACTTTTTAATGATTTAAGGTGTCAGTGCAATACATTGAGTAAGGCTATTTCTCATTCATAGCAGAAATTATTAATAAAAGTAGGAGTTCGGTTTTAAAGATGGATGTTCATGTTTCACTTAGGACAGTATTTGTTATTCATTATTTTCTAAGAAAATTGAAGGTGATGAAATGGAGGCATCTCTTGGTGGTGCGAGTAAAGCTACTACTAGTATTTTACCACTTCTTGATGTTACCAATGAATCGATCCCTGATTTGGTTGACTGAAAGTGGTAACGACGATTTATCGATGATCTCTATTATTCCCGGAGTTCGTTTTCTTGTTTTCTTTGTATCTCACTGGTTTGGTACATTGTTATTTGATTTTTTTTCGCATTATATTTTGGATTTTTTTATTTTTTGTCTTTCAAACTCTTATTTATGATAATTACTTCGGCTTCGTGTAGGAACAGATATAGTTGAGTGGAAGTGTTTGAGTTCTTGCAGTAATATTTCACTTACTTTTTACGGTGCATGCAATCCAGATCGACTTTTTTCTACTTGTCAGAATCTGTAAATTAGTTTTTGATCATATGTCCACTTCAAAATTGTTGAGCAGTTCCTTTTTTTTATATTTTGTTTTTTTATCTTCCTACCTCCCAATCATTTATTCTGGTTGCAAACGATTAATTTATCATCTTAAGCTAATAGGTCTTTTTTTTTGGTTTTGGATTTTACTTTTCTTCGGTGGTTTCCATGCATATATTCGTGACTTTGATCGTACAAAAATTTTTAATTCCTTGGAACTACAGCGTAACAAAATTTACATTGAACCATAATCGACATCATTGACGAAATGTAAGATTACCATATAATAACGACATTTACATTCATTTCTTTAAGTATATAATTTATCATTTCCTCATTCTTCTTTCAGAACCATTAATTCCAAATATTGAAAAGGGTAAGCTTGATTTTTTTGGCCATCCGTTTGTAACTTGTCGCAAATGCTACGTAACCTGATAATTATGTTAGCATATGTTTTATAGTTTCTGCACAAGAATACCTCTTTTTCCAATATATCTTGTAATTTGCTTTTTGTATGCATGAATAAAAATTTTGAAAATTTTTTTAATTTTTAGGATAAATATTTTGTCAAACCACTTGTATTATATACGACTTTTTTCAATAAAAAGCGATTTTTGTTTAAGCACGTTATGAAGACGTTTCAGTATCAAAATAATATAGCATGCTGGCATGAGGTAGGCAAACTATATGTAAGTAGTAATTCAACAAATTTGGAAATGCGCATTTCTGAATTCTAACTCGGAAATTCGTAACAAATGACTTAAGATCATTTCTTACTAAGTTTCTGGATTTGGGTTTGTTTTTTAGCGAAGTTTCTGAAAGCATATCCAAATGTGTAACACGTACTTTTTCAGATCAAATTGCCTAGAAAGTCTCTGACCGGAAAAGTGATTCATGAGAAGGCGATAATGTTCTTTTGACACGGTTCCATCTCCAGAACGTCCAAAATCTTATGTATTCGAATATTGTCCATTGCACATGCCCCATTTATTTTGCCATTATTTTCACACATAAATAGGATCTGAAATAGAATAATTTTGTTGATTGTGTATCCTTTTGCTTTATGCTCTTATCCGAGTTAATTCTTTTTTTGATGGTTAATGTTATCATTCGCTTAACTAGTAGTCCAGTTTTCATGTGAAGGGTTTTTATCGCTTAGTTGGTTCAGCAATCCATATTCAATACCATGATGAGAAGTATCCTGATAATTAGTAATTTAAAATTATAAGCTGCCGTCTCGATCTGATGAAGGCATTATCAAACGCAAAATTTGATCCGGTACGGCTGCCCATTTTTTTAATTATTCGAAAATTTGATACCTTTCCGGTACCTTGAGGACAGGTAAACCGTTCTGTCCTCCAAATAA